ATTCTTGAGAGCTTTGGTCATACCTCTGTACATAAGATTTTCCAGGACCATCCTGTTCATCCTTCTTGGGCCTCAGTTCCAGGGTGCTCTTGTTTCTAAGACAGGCTGCTATTGCCAACTCGGTTCAAACACATAGTAGTGAAGAAACAGCAACAAAAAAGCACCCAAAACAAACAAACAAAAACCCTAAAAAGCCAGGTTTTCAGGAAGACCTTTAATTTTAGGCAATTTTTTCACTGAACACCCAAGTGCAGGGTTTTGTGGTATGCTAGCAATATGCCTGCTAGAGCTCTCTCTGAAATCAAGGACAGGGGAAGGATGCTCCTTTCCCAAGGATTGCTCACACCCTGAGTGCTCTGAATCCTCCTCTGAGGTTGTACAGCATCAGCCTTCAGCAGGCTGGTTTTAGGCAGTAGTAGGAGACAGACCAGACTTTTAGCATAATTTCCTTGTTTCTGAGCACCCTGGAGCTCTAAGTCTTGACTAAATCCAACTTCAGCTATCCCTGGTCAGGCTTTCTAACACAAGTTGTGATAAAATGTAGTACACAGGCACTCCCCTGACCTGCTTGCTGTGTTTATGGGGTGGCTGTGAGGGTTAACAAATAAGGATTTCTATTACATTTGAGATCTTTTCCTGGATGATGCTCTAGGAATCCATTGTATTGTTATCTGGATGCAAATAGGCCTGAAATAGTGTTACCTTTCCCCTGAATTGAAGAATGGGTCTAATAAAACCAAATTTAACAGAGTGCTGCATAATCAGACTTTGTCCTGAGGGCTCTGTGATATCTCAGGTGATTTCATTTTCATGATGAAGCAATACCAGTGCATGCCCTGCACAGGTCTGGCAGCACAGAAAGTGCAGGGTGGCTTGGAGCCCAGGCAGGTTGTTCTGGTGAGCTGCTGGGCCCTGCTTTAAGAGCAAAACTTTCCAGGTAAAAGCAACATGTGGAGCCATTTTGACAGCTTGCCAAAGCAGCTTCAGCAAAGTGCTGGGGCAGCTCAGCATGGATTTTAACCTGGGGAGGGGTGCAGGTTAAAGTGTATTTGCATGGCAGTGAGTGGTTTTCAGCTGCTGGTGTGGCCTTGGGCATGACCTGAAGGGCAGTACCAATGGGATGGTCCTTCCCAAGCTTCCAGCATCCAGCAGCCACATCCCTGTGGCTGGGCTGGGTCTGAGGGCAGTCTCTGCCTGCTTTGTGACTCTTTCTGAGCTGCAACAAGCAGAAAACCCAGAGCACTGCACTTTGAGCAGGACACAGAAGAGCTGGAAGTTCTCTCAACAATGTGGATTCAGCTTGGGGTCCCAGTGTGTCTGTGACAGCCTGGTCAGAGAGAGAAAGCCAGATACACTTTCCCAGGAATTGTTCTGGGGAATTTGAGAAGGTATAAAAAGCTTACTTGATTACAATCTCCCAGTATTTATAACCAACATGTGCACCCAGAACCTGACTGGTTCTTAATAACACCTTGTCATGGACAGGGACCCCCTCCAAGGGGAGCAGGGGACAGACACAGTCAAACACAATCACCAACATAAATTAACCTCTCATTTCACCATCCTGAAGCAGCTGGGAGCAAGCTTCATCCTCTGTAGATTCACAAGCAGCAGGTAGGAAAGGCACTCTTGTTAGGATTAGTTCACTAGAAGCCAGGACCAGAGGTCCCAGAAACAAAACACTTGTTATGTCCTTGGAATTAAGGACACATTGTGACACAAAGAGGAGCAGGGATGCATCAGGCTCAGCAGAGAAGGAAAAGCACTTTCAACATGTAAATAAAACCCCTAAATGTGCTTTAAACAGGATGGTGAAATGAGAGGGTTAGTTTATGCTGGTGATTGTGTTTGACTGTGGCTGTCCCCTGCTCCCCTTGGGGTGGGTCCTTGTCCCTTCTGTACAGTCATTAGTCTGGAAGGTGTCATTAGTGGCAGGCTTTTCTTTCCAAGATGCTTAGCTCTCCCTCTGGAGTTCTGCAGGGATAACACCATCCTTTCCTCTGTGTGCTGTGCTGGAGATCCTGCTGGATTAACCAGCACTTTTCCCCCAAGGCAGCTCAGTCCCTGGGCTCCTGTGGCAGTGATTTGTGTCACTGCAGGCAAGTCCAGGCGGCCTGTGGCCAGTCCTGCTGGGTTGACTGTCCCTGCCTTTCTCCCTGCAATGTAATCTGCAAGAGATCTGCACTGGCAGCAGAAGTTGGTGGGTTGGGAAGTTTTTCCAAGCTCAGTTGTGTTGGGGTCTTGCAGCTCTCACACAAACCAGATTTTGTCTATTGCCTGCAAGAAGACTTGGGAATGATTTTAGGGGATTATTTTACTTTGCCTTGTGCTGAGCTGTCCCAGTGGCAAGGCACAGCACAGCAGAGGATAAGCCTGTGCATTTTGAAGCCCAAAGCCAATTTTGGAAAGCTGTGCAGAGGAGGATGCCACAGCAACTGGCAGGCTGGGACTTCAAGTTACGTTTCTTCAGAGCAGAACAGGGATTTCAGATTTCCTCCATCAGGTTAGCAGCTCCAAATCATTTCTTGACAGATGTGAGCACAGTTTTTATGGCTGTGATATTCATTTACAGCAGCTGGTGCTCAGTCCCCTGTCCTTCTCCCTTCATGGATGGCTATTTGCACAAGGCTGCATGGAGAAGGGGATTTGCAGATAGCAGAACTTTCAGCCAGCTGGCAGGAGACTTTGGTGGCTGTCACTCACAGTGTGTGGGTGAGACACTGCTCCCAGTCCCCTTCCCATGCCAGCCTGGTGTTATTTTAAATGGATGCCAGGTGTTCAAAAGCACCTGGGAGGTGACATTCCAGAGGCCAGGCTCACTCCTGGGCTCCTCAGCCCTGCAGGCTCTTGTGCTGAGCCTCTCCTCTGAGCACCCAAGGTCAGACTATCAGAACTGTAATGTTCTCACCTGGAAACTCAAACATTCGTTGGCCAAGTGAGCCATTGGTTGATAGCTTTGATTTTTGTAAAGGATGTGTTTCTAATTTCTTTGTTCTGTGTTTCTGGGGACCAGAGCAGAGATGGGCACTGAGGAAACACATGGCAGCTGGAAAACTGCCCACAGTGTTCCTCATCTTTCATTAGATGGTGCAGAGGCAGGGAATGTATTCTACATTATATTATAATATATTAGTTATATCAGAGAGGAAATGCTTTTTGGTTTTGTTTTGTTTGTGGTTTTTTACTTTCCTATAAGGAAGAAAAAATAAAAAGCCTGGAGTACTTGCTTGCCTTAATTTTCACAGACCGAGCTCCAGGGATGTACTCACATGGTCCATATTTGTTTTGGGTTTTTTTAGGGAATCTTAGCCCTGTGGTATCAGGCATGTCAGCAGACACCTGCCTGAAAGGCTGCTCATTATCTCTTGAAGGAAACCTTCACTCCCTCCTCACCCTTATTTGCTATCCCTATATTACCATAATGAAATGTCAGCTTGCCACCAGCTCTGCTGCTGAGCAGATGTTGCCTCCCAATTACTGTTGTTGCAGGGTTTGGGTGTTTATCCTGGCTGTCTAGGCAGGCTGTTAGCAGTAGTGCCTCCCACCACAGCCTGGCCATGCAGTTGGTGCACATCTGGAAGAAGATGTAAGTACTGCTGCTCTCCAGCAAGTTTTATTCTGCTGGATCTCCAGAGCAGCTCTTTAATGTGCCAAGGACAGCATCCCCCAAAAGTGCTTTAAACTGAGGAGAGGGCCTTGCAGGGAAAATACCTGCAAGTGTGACTTCCCCTCCCCAGGCAAGGCCTGCTGGAAAGTTGGTTTGAAAAGAGCAGAAAGTTAAATGAAGTTTGTTCATTCTTGGTCCTAAAGCACAAACTGGGGTGCTCCGTGGGGCAGGCTGCCTTTGTGGCAGTGTGCTGGTCAGGTTTGTAAAGCAGGAAAGGGTTAGACCAGCATTTTCCTCCACCCAGTGTGTATTTCCTAGGAGATATGAAAAGTGCTCATGGAGGTATAAAAACAAACATGCTCTGTTGGCGAGAAGGAAATGTGAAAACATTGGTTGGAGCCAGGGGAGGAGGGATGCCAGGGGGTCCTGGTCCTCTGGAGAGGGCAGGATTAGAGGATTTCCTCCTCCTCCTTCAGTAAAGTCTCTTGGGTTTTCTACAGTTCTGCTTTGGGGTCATTTAATGTTCTGAAAGTTGGTGGTTTTTTTTATTTTTCAAGTTCTCTGAGTTCCTGAGAAATCAGCCACTTCCCTACAACTCCCTGATCGCTCAGTGGCCTGGAAATGTCTTTCAACTGCAATATTGCACAAGAGAGATGGTTTTTGTTGTTGCTTTCAGTGCATCTCAGCCTCCAAACTCTCTGCAAGGGCTTGTTGCACGTTGGATGTACAAGCTCTTCAGCTGGTGCCCATGGTTGGCCTCGTGGAGTGAGACAGGGCTGGAGCTTCATGGAATGAGGGCCAGGTTTGGCCACAGCAGGAGTGGTGGGAATGGCTGGGAGCTTTGGGCCAGGTGGGGTTTGGGGTGATGCAAAGCAAGCTGAGGTTGTTTCTCTATTTGTAGGCTCCACTGAGAAGCTTGGATGAATAAAGAGTGCCCTTTTGGGGTGCTGGTGTTGCTCCAAGCTTGGAGCTCCATTATTCCACCTTTTGAGCTGGAAATGCCCACTGATTTCTGAGCTGTTGGCTGAACCTGGCACTCAGCTGCTTGTCACCTCTTTCATTCTACCTGTGGTTCTGCCCCTTCTGATGAGGCCAAGCAAATCTGCAGGATTTGAGTGTTTTCCTTCTCCAGCAGCACTGGTTGTTCCCTCTGGCTGAGCTGTCCCTAAGTTTGTGTCTTTTCTTTGCATAATTTCTAGATGTATTTCTGAGAATTGTGTCCCAGTGAGGCACCACAGAGGAATGGCTGCAGGAACCATTATACTCCATCTCCAGCAGGGCTGGGAGTGTGGTGCCTGAGCTTGCACCTTTATTTTCCCTCTCCTGGAAAGGTTTCCTCTGGGTATGTTGGCTGCCGTGGCCAATTTTGCTCCCTTTTTTGGGTGTTTTTCAGTGCACTACCAGAAGATCATCCACAGGGACATCAAGCCTTCCAACTTGCTCTTAGGAGATGATGGCCACGTCAAAATTGCCGATTTTGGTGTCAGCAATCAGTTTGAAGGGAATGATGCCCAGCTTTCCAGCACAGCAGGGACACCAGCCTTCATGGCACCAGAGGCCATCTCACAGACTGGCAAAAGTTTCAGTGGCAAGGTAGGTCTGTGCTCACTGGGGGTCTCCTGGTACCCCCAGGCATGGCACAAAGGGCAGTGCCACACCTGCATCCCGACTGTGGTACAAATTAGGGCTGTCAGTCAGTAAAAATGAAGCTCTAATTCTCTCCAGGCCAGGCAAAGCTCACGTTGGTTGTTCTGTGCAGTGGGCAGACACTTTGATCTGGATCCCTGCCTAGGCAGGAGCCATGCTAGAGCCCTTTCCCTGCCCCAGGGGAAGGGAGGAAGCCTTTGATTCCCTCCCAAAATAATCAAGAGGCACAGGGGGCTGCTGAGCACCTTGATTTCCTGGGAGTGAGAGACACTGCCCAGGGTGGTGATGCAGACATGGGGAATAGGGGCTAATAGGGATTTTTTTGTCTGGAAAACTTTTAAGGTTCAGCCCTGAATGGTGTCATTTCCTGTAGGAAGGGGCTGCTTGCTGGTCACAGCAGGGCAAGGGAGCTGTGCCTGGCCCAGCACAGCCCTCATTCCTCAGGTGGGCAAGAGCTGCCCTTAGGAGCCCAACTTCAAAGTGACACAGAAAGTGTTAAATCCATACAAAGAGTGTTATGTGATTTGTTGGGAAATCCAGCTTACTCAGATCATCTGTGTTGCCTCTCCTTTACTCCCTGTTCATGCTCTCTTTCAGGCTCTGGATGTGTGGGCCATGGGAATCACCCTGTACTGCTTTGTTTATGGGAAGGTAAGCTGCTTTTCAGTGCTGGAGCCCTGCACTGCCCTATCTGCCAGCCTTTGGACTCATTCCTTTCCAAATAAAGGCAAATATTAGAGACAAAGACCTACCTTCTGTAAGCTCAAAATCCCCTGCAGATCAGAAGGGGCTGAGGTTGTGACCTGTGGAAAGGATCATTTCCAGCACTGGGCCCTGAATGCAGAGCTACAAACCCAGAGCAGCAGCACCACCACCAGCAGCTTGTGGGGGGTTTATCCACATTTCCTGCATTTAGAAACGAGCCAGAGCATGGACAGAGGCATAGGATTGATCCCAAACTGTTGCAGCACGTTGGGAACCAGAAAGCTCTGTCTGCCAAAGCTGAGTTAGGACTGATGGGGGTCCAGGTTGGCTGCTCACTCCATGTCCTGTCATGGCATTTCCCTCCCGTGTGGCCAGAACCCCCATGTCCCACCCATGCTGTGCCAGGATGAGTACAGGAGGTGTGAGCAGGAATGAACCTGAACCTCTGACCTCTGCAGATCCCACCACACAGGCACCAGGCATCCAGCTCTGGGTGAGAAGTGGCCAGGGGAGGTGACAGAGGCAGTTCATGGTCACCTGGCAGACTGGATGGAGGAGGGTATTCCAGTCCAGTTATGTATTCCCTAGATGCCTCTGCTGTTATTCTGAATTTATTTTTTAATGAGGAATGAATCGATTTATTGTGTGTGGGAAGATTTAATTTATTTCCATCTCTGTGTAAAATCCAGGGAATGCAGAGGTTGTACTTGGTGTTACATGAATGACAAATGCCTGAGTGATGCCAGGATCTTGGACAACTGGAAAATCTCCTTGTTTGTTTTACAGTGCCCTTTTATAGATGAATATATTCTGGGTCTTCATAATAGGATCAAGACCAAGCCTGTGGAGTTCCCAGAAGAGTGAGTAAACTTTACTCAGCTGCTGTAAAATAAAGCTCAGTTTTCAGCCTTATCCCCTGTGTGGCACAGTGGTCACCATGGGGGGATGGACATGAGTGGGTGAGGTGCTTTGTGTTCTCCTGGGTCCTTCATGTGGGTTTTGTGCTGGTGTTGAGGTGTTCAAAGTGTTCTGCTCTTCCTCTGTCCTTGTTGTGCAGACAGGAATAAAGGAAATGGCTCTTTGGAAGTGAAGGGATCCCAGGATCGAGGAAGTTCTGCCCCACCTGCTTGACTCTGGAGATGCTGGATGCATGGCTTGGTCTCCCCATGCAGCAGCCACCAGAATGATTTATGCATTCATTTTCAGAAGCAATGTGGTGATGAACCTTGGTCTTGGTCTAAGTAACACATCCCTCTCCTGTGAACTTCCCTTGGAGCCAGGGGAACTGTCTGATGGAAGGAAGCTTGGCCTGAGATGTGCAACCACAGCTCAGCAAATCCCACTCCTGCAGCACACCCCAGGAAAACATGGGTTTGTCTTTTGCACTGGCAGAGAGGGAAAAAACTGGCAGTTATGAAAAAAACAGGAATTAATTCACCAATGACCTATTGAGGGTTTGGCCAGGGAAGGGAAGGAAACCCCCGTGGGGCACAGTGGCAGTGCTGGGGTGTCAGGTGGGAAGGCAGCTGTGGCCACAGCATGTCCTGAGCAGAGCAGGGGACAAACCAAGGCCACTCAGGTGGCATTTGAGCAGTGGAGGCTCAGAATTGAGCTGATGAGTGCTCGTGGTCAGAGTCTGGCAGGAAGGGGTGACACTCCCTGTGTGCTCAGGGATGCTGGCTCCATGGTCACCATTCCTGTAGCTTCAAGTGTTGGCCACTCCTCAGCATTTCCTCCAGCTTCAGGCCTTTGGTGACTTCCTGTTGGTGAAGAATTTCTTTCCTGTGGTTCCTGACAGATGAGTTAGCCAGAGCTGGACTCTTTGTTTTCCTTCCCAAATTCACCCAGTAGTCAGGCAAAGAATTCTTGCCCTCATTGCTCATGTCAATAAAAATTTTTAGATAAAATTACTTGGTTTGGAGCAAGCACAAATTAAAACTCTAATGAGAGGCATGTGTGGTGTTTAGAGGGGAAGGGAGGGATGTTGTCAGGCAGCCTGTGATATGTGCATGTACCCAACATCTGGGGCAAGGCAAGACTTTTCTGTGAGATGCTCACTGAATTTTCACATTACAGTAAAGTCTGGGCCTCTACCTTGGCATTCCCAGACTTTCTTCTGATTCCACAGAAAGGGATGGACACTCAGTACTCTCTTTTAGAGACTTGGGCTGCATTAATTACCCTGCAGTGACAGGAGCCACAGGCAGTGCAGACAGCTCAGCCCCTCTGCCCAGCTGGAGCCTGCACAGCACCTGCAGCCCCAAGGCTGCAGCTCCTGTAGGGCACTCACAGACCCCAGTGTGGCTGAGGAGCAATTCTGGCAGGCCCAGGTCACTGGCCTTGAGGCTTTAGGAGCACAAAGGCTGGTCATGCTCCACTGCTGCGTCCCCACCTGCAGCTGGAACAGGACTTTGTCTTGACAGCACTGCAGCCAAAAAAACCCCAAACCTGTTTATGTTCCCCTGGCAGTTTTCTCCCTTGCTCAGGGCTGGCAGAACTCCCACCCCTCCCTCAGCCACCATGTATTTGGGTTAGCAGTCAGCTTACAAGTGACTGTTCCCATCTGCCTCTGCAGTAAGTTATTAACATTTAATAGGCTAACTGGGTTGTGCTGAGAACTTTTCCTTCATTCAGGCATTTCCTTCAGCCATAATTGGGCTGCATGATTTATGTGGATTCCTCAGTGACCTGTTCTCCCAGTCTAAAAAAAGCTGCGCCCCTGATTAGGTTGTTGGGGGAGCTGAGGGTTACAAGGTGTTGACAGCTGTCCAAACCACATCTATTTGTTAGAGGCAGCCACAGAGCCATGGAATTCACTGGAGTGGATCCACCCTGACCTCCCACAGAATTAGCACCTCTCTATAGTGAGGAGTATTTTGGTTTCAATTTATTTCACCATGGCTACAAAAGACACATTCCTCTTTGCAGAGACCCCATGGAAACTCACTGCCTGTTTCCTGACAACCTTTAGGACAGATGGATCTGACTGTACCAGTGTCACCATCCTGTCCCTTCCCTTAGAGACACCAGGATAAATATTTATGGAGTTCTCATTCACGTCACTGAGTCCTTGCCATGACACGAGGCAAATGGGCTTAGCTCACACCCTGAGGATCCTGGCATGAATAAAAAGCAAGCTGAAGTTTCTCTTCAAATGTGTCAGCAGAGCCAGCAGCTCTGCCTAGTCCCTCCTGTGAAGCCCAGGACAATGTTCCCTGACCTGCAGGCACCCTGTAAAGTGATCTGGGTGCTGGCAGCCCTCCTGAATGGATGCTGAGCCCTGTGCCTGGCATCTTCCTGAGAGCTCTTACAGGACTATGGCTGTGAGACATCCCAGACAGCACAGGCTTTTCCAAGGCAAAATGCCACCAGGCACAGTGTTCACAGTGTGCTGCAGAATGGGAGAAGGGAAACCAGAGACAGGGTGATGTGATCTGTCACCTGGCCATAACCCACCTGACACCTGGTGATCCTGTTGATGGGGCTTTTCCCTAGGGCTTTAATCCTGTGTTGCATAGAAATCAATCTGGTGCACAGAAACGTTAAGTGATTTAATATTCTATTTATTGTATTTTAAGTAAAGCTGTTGACACTTTGGCACAGAACTGATTTAAAGTATTTTTTAAAATGCCATCTCACCTGCATCAGTGTGGTGTCTGGAAGGAATCTGTTTGTTCTGAGCTGCTAAGTGCACTGTCAGTGTCCATGGCTGTTCCTCTGGAGCTCATTTCAAGGGCAGCACTGTTCTTTCCATTCCAGCTGGAATTGTCACCCGAGTCTCTGAGGACTCATCCTGTTCTTCCCCTTGTCTGGGCTCTATTGCCTGTGTATAGCAGAGCCCTGATGCAGCTCTAAGTGTTTACCCTTCAAACTGAACCCCCTTTTTGCCTCTGAACGAGCAGCATTTCCTTGTAGTTGTTTCTAAAGATCTCATAGCCAAAGTCCCAATAAAATATTAATGAATTATTAAACAGCAGCCCTGTTTTCATCAGACTGAAATACCCCTTGCTGTGATGTGGTTTTCATTTTGGTTTGTGATAGTTTATTCCCTTCTGTGCAGAGGAGATGAGCACAGCACCTGGTGCTCACTATTGTTTTCAGTCTCAAATCCAGCCTTCCTGGGGAGTGACATTTTGTGCTGCTCAGTCCCATCTCCATGAAGAAACAATTCTTCAAGAGTCATTTTTGTGACACAGACTTTCAACTGGCTAATGCAATTCAGTCACATGCTGGCACTTTACTGCAGCAGCACTTTGATCATTCAGATCTAGTGCATTTTAAAGGCTTCTCCTGCATCATTAACCACAGGAGTCATTGCAGCCTTTGGGCTGCAGGACCAAGGGCTTCATGCCAGTAGAGTGGCTTCTGGGTTCAGGTGCTCTCACATCTAGATCTTGGAAATAGTGTTAAAAATGTAGATGTATTTCTCTTATTTGCATGTATTCATTCCTTAATGTTGTTACCCCAAGGCTGAGCTTTGCAGGTAGGGAATACTGAGTTACAGGCTGCCTGCAATCTGTGTTCTGGAAGCAATTTAAATAACACAACCTGGAGGCTTAGCTGGGAACTGGAATGTCAGATGGGGGTGTTTTATCCAGCATACAGTTGCTCATGATGCGGGTTCAGCAAATCAAGCTGTGCCCCTCTTGATTCACAGAGTTCAGTTCAGCTCTCAGGAGCACTTTGTTGTTCCAGATCTTCCCTCAAAAATTCCCCTAGGTAGTGCTGTCTTCAAGGATGTCCTTAGACCCCTTCACCTGATCCCTCCTCCTGCATTTTGAGTGAGTGCTGCTGTGTTAGGGGGCAGAACAGGATAACCAAGGCCTGCAGCAGTGACTGTGGTGCCTTCCTTTTTTCCAAGCCAGGTTTGCAGAGAAAACACCTCCTGAGCAGAGCAGATTCTCTACCAGGTAACTGCAGTAAGAACTGTGCATTGCTGCCCTTACAACTGCCTTGTTAAGTGTGTGCTGCTGTTTTCTTCACTCAGAGCACAGATAAGTGAGGAGCTGAAGGATCTGATACTGCGCATGCTCGATAAAAATCCAGAAACGAGGATAACAGTCCCTGAAATAAAGGTAAGGTGCACCTTGATATAAATAAGCTTTTAGTCTCAGCTGATTTTATGTCCTTTGGTACCTTCTAATGAGGCAAAGCTCTTCCCAGTGTTTGTTTTGGGAGCTGTCTCTAGCACCCTCCCTCGGAGGAGAGTACTCATTTTGCAGCCACAGCTCCATCACTGCTTCTTGCTTGGGGAATATTGACAAAAGCTTTCCTGTTTGCTTGTTTAAATGAAAATTACTCAAAAGCTGGCTGATCTCAGTGAATCCCTGGGAGAATCAACACTGTCAGGGGAACTGCTAGTTGCAGAGCCTGGGCTGACAGTGTTGGATGTGCATTCCAGGGATTGGGTATGTGTTCTTCCCCTGGTCCTTGTGTGGCCAGTGGCCTCAAGGCAGCACATTCTTTTCTATCACCATTATTTGGGAGATGTTTAATAATAGAAAGAATGAACAGGCCTGGCAGAGCACAATGCTTCACAAGTTATGGTTTCATTCTGAGTTTGTGTGGGCTTGCTGTCCTCCTGTCACCCCTCACCAAGGCTTTAGACCTGCTGAAGGATCCCAGAATTTCCATAGAGATCCATCAGCAAGCTCTACAGGGCAAGCTCTGCTTTGCTTTGTCCCAGGCCAACACCAGTATTGCCACCAAAGCCGACACTAGAAAAGCTGAGCTTCAGGAAAAAATTGTGACATCCCTTCTCTCCATGCCCAGGTTTGGAGATTTTTGGCCTCAAAAAAAAAAAAAAATTTGGCCTCAAAGGCAGGTTTGGAGCTGTATTTATGGGATTTCATGTATGTATTTCTCTTTCACTGTAAGAGCCTGTAGGTAGAAGAGCAGAGCTGAGTGCTGGCCCTTGTCCCTGGCTGGTGTGCTTGGGGACTTGCCTTGGATGCTGACAGAGGACGTGTCAGGCTGGGCTCTGTGCTCAGCCCATGCCGTCAGACAGGGTTTCCTTCCTGCTCCCAGCCAAGAAACCATCCCATGAGAGGCAGCAAGAACAGGGGGCTTTGCTCTGCTGCATGCAAGACAAAAAACGAAAAAGCTCCAGACAACTCAGGTTGTCAAAGTGTTCCAAACTCGTTTCAGGGTGTGCCGTGGTTCTGGTGGGTGGCAGCAGGTATGACAGCACCGAGCCAGACTGCAGCCAGACTGCAGGAGGCTGGTTAAAATCACCTCTGGCAGTGGGAGATGGAGCAGTAGTGACAGCAGCGAGCCCTGTGCCCCGCTGCTGTCCCAGCCAGGGCTGTGTGTCCCGTGCAGGTGCACCCCTGGCTGAGCCGGGGCGGCGCGGAGCCGCTGCCGCTGGAGGAGGAGCACTGCTCCGTGGTGGAGGTCACCGAGGAGGAGGTCAAGAACTCCGTGAAGACCATCCCCAGCCTGCCAGCCGTGGTACGTGTGACACACCACATCCTCTGTGAGGGCTGTGCTGAAGCCTTCAGCTGCTGGGGGAGGTTTGGAGAGGGGACACGTGTGTTCTGGCATGAAATCTGGGCCGTTTGACCCACTGGGAACTTCTTCTGTGTGACCACTGCAGCAGCCTGGCTCTCTCAAGCAGCTGTTCTCTGGGTTCCTTTGCTTCGTGCTCTTTGCTGTAAAATGTCAGCTGAATTATTAAAGAAGCTGTTGTTCCTCCTTTGAACTAGCTTCCAGGAGCCAGTCCTGCTGTTCTTACTGCTCTGTTCTCTTCCTCAAAGATCCTCGTGAAGGCCATGCTGAGGAAACGCTCCTTTGGGAACCCCTTTGAGGTCCAGACGAGGCGGGAGGAGAGATCCATGTCTGCTCCAGGGAACCTGCTGATGTAGGTACCTGCACCATGCCTGGCTCTGCAGCACGGCCTGTGGGGAAGCACTTTGCAAATCTTTTCTGTAGCATTTAAAGACAAAACTTCCTTCTGCATCAAACACTGGAGATAAAATCTACCTCAAGTCCTCTCAGATTGAAGTACAGTGTACTGCTGCAGCCTAAAAACTCTTTTATACATGCAGTTCTCACTGTAAGATGGGTTTGGCCTAAACACATGTAGGTTGCTAAACTTGAGTCTCTTTTTTCACCTGTTAGTTTATAATGCTGTGATCAAAGATCCATTAGAGATTGGTGAAGTAAGATAAGTTTCATTAGGGTCTAGTTTGGATTTATATTGAGAGCTTAATTCTTCTCTCCTTTCTATGGGCAACAGAAATGGTACCAAATGAGCAGTTTATGTAGGTTTTTTCACTTAACATGAGATTATGGGATTTGACCTGGGGTCTGGGGCCCAAGTCTGGGCAGAGACATCAGACAAAAGAGAACACTTTGAAATTGCCTTTTCACTTGAGAACACATTCAGGTTTTTTTCACAGTTTTTTGCCAGTTAATGAAATAGTGAAACACATTACAAGGGGATACTTTGGAGGCTGGGTATAAATTACTTTATTGAGATTAAAAAAGGAATAGAGATCTTGATGACTAATAGATTCATTAGCAGTTTTTAACCATGATGGTGTGTACAGGGATGGGGAGAGAATTCTTCTGTCCTTTACGTGGTTCTTACTCTTTCTCCTTCCTTTTTGTCACAGATTCCATTCAGAGCCAGGATTCTGGGCCATCAGTCCAGTAAATAACAGCTGGACCAGTAGCCTGATCTGGGACAATTATTTTTATATAAATAAAGTTCTCACCCCACAGGATCTATAAGGCTGTGGCTGACAACAAAGCTGTGTTGTCCCAAAATGATTCTTTCCACCCAGAATCCCAGTCCCATTCCTAGCAGACTCCCAGGAGGGTGTGCTGAGTCTCACTGCACCATTGATAACACAATTAGAAGAGTCTCTCTCTGTCTCTCACAGGTGTGTGGGGATTTCAGGGCTCAGCTCAATTAAGGATGATAATATTCTAGGTCCCCAGCTGATTACTGGAGACTTAATGAAGCCTTTGTCTTGGTGTCCATGACCAGACACCAGTTTGGCATTGAAACACCCTGCTCATGAGTGCTGCTGTGGGACACATCTGGAGCACGGCAGTCACAGCTCCTTTGCCATCTTAGCACAAGGGATTTGCCCTGATTTGTTCCTCTTTGCTCAATGCCTTCCAAATTAGTTCTTGCTAATTGGACACACATTCCTACCCATATCTTCACTATCATTGCTGGTCATTGCATTGCATTGCTCTGAAATGGGGAAACATTTACTAAATTTGAAGAAAAATGTATTTTATTCTTCCCAGACAGGTAAGCTGGAGCAAGGCAGATTTCCTTTTCAAACCCTGCCTGAACTGATATTTCAGGCTGGTAACCCTGTGCCTGTTTCCAAAAGGGATCTGTTCCCTTCTACCTTCATTTGAGATGCTTGAAAACTCAGCCAGGTGGTGGGAAAATTCCTTGACCCTTGATGGTGGTTCCTGCCTGGAGCTGGGTGCTTTAGTATCTGCTCAGGAAAAACAAAGTTCATTTTATCTCAGGTAGCTGTGAAACCTCTGATCAGCCCATTATCAGTGTCTTGTCCTCTATAAAATATTCTTAAGCTTTCATGACAAGCTGTAATCCTCCATTTTTGTGTCCTTTTTAAAGTTGCTAGTCAGATTTTTTTCAGTTCATTGAAACCCAGCATCTTCCCCTGTCTCAGCTCATTCTGGACCTGTGTGTTTTCAGGCTCCTTGTACAGACTAAAAGGTTTATTTTTAAAGCAGTGTGTAATTTCCACTGTTGTGCTGCTGTGTCTGGTGCCCTTAGTTTACAAAACCATGCCAGGCCAGCTGCAGCCGTGCTGGGCTGGCCTCTGCCCAGCTGTGTGAGCACTTAGAAATATCCAAAATCAATATGAATGTGCCAATTCTCCACTGCACAATCCCTGTGCTTAATTTCTCAGTCTCATGCCATCAGTGCCAATTTTTGACAGTAACAATTGACTTAATCCTAAATTACTTCATGCACAACTGCAGCTTTGAAAACCCATCTCAAAATTGTTGTTTAAAAGAAAGGCACTTGCCAAGTCTCTCCAACAAATGGTGTTGTATATTAAACACCACAGCAGGGATGCTCCTTTTAAGGCATATGGATTATTATTATTATTTCAAACTTTGGAAAACGTTTTACTGACTGAATCTAATGAAAATAACTTCAAATTTAAATAGATGTGTTGGATCTAATGACATTAATCTCAAGTGAACCACAGCTAAACGGGAAATATTCATTGTTCAGTGAGTTATCTCTTGATGACAGTGTTATTTCCTCAGGGGCAAACAGAGTAGACACCAAGCACATCCACTTCTTAATTCATATTGCTTGTTCCCTGGAAAAAACACCCTTGCTACACATATAAAGTGCCAATATTATGATTACAGCTGTATTAAAATAAGTTTCAAGTTAGTCTGGATTTCTGTAAAGCTTTAGGATCTTGCAGGAGCAGATAATATTGCTGTAATAAAGCTCTGCAGAGAGTTTCTGCATGTCCCTCACTCTTGTTGCTGGACAGGGGACCCCGAAATTGGGACATGCCAGAAAAGCAGTGCCTGCAGCCATCGCTGTGCTGTGGACATGTGGCTGCCCTGGAGGAGCTGAGAGAAAAATGAGCCACACATTGCCAAGCTCTCCTGCACAGAGCTCTTTGTCCCAGTAGCAGTGCCTTTAGAGGGACATAAGTCAGCTTGTGTAATATTGCAGCTCCTACTGGCTGTAGGTAGGAAATAACTTTTCGTGTTTCTACAGAAGAAAAAAGGAAAGCAATTAGAATACTCCAGTTTCACATTCAATTTATTTAATTAGGCTGCATGTGAAATTGCCAGAGCCCCACTCACTGCTGCTTCAAGCATCTTACATCTGTGCCATTTCTGAGGATATACTCTGTAGGAAATCCTCTGGCAGTGAGCTGAGCTCTGGTACCAGAGCTTTCTGCTATTTGATGTCTAATTGATGACTCTTAAAATGGAGCTGTCCTTCAAGCTCACTCCTTGGGATTTGGAGAGGAGGAAACTAAATCATGTGGCTGAATCTTTTTTTAACTTCTCCCTGCATTACCTACACAGCATGCTGGGCTCTGTTCCTGGAAATGCTGTGGGCAGATGTCTGTGGTAGCAGCAGGGCTCTCCTGTTGCAGCCTTGATGCCTTTAGAGGACACCAGTAAGACCCCACTGATGTGAAACAGTCCTTAAGTTATTCCTGGGAGGACAGAATGGTTTTTTAGCACTCTTTTGACCTGGAAGAAGCCAATCCTCTCCTGGCTGTTATTTATTGCTCTGTTTATCAGCACTGAGCAGTTTAAAAGGCAGATGTTCAGTACAGACACACTCAGCAGGTGGAGGGGAGCTAAAATGATGATGCTCCATTTAGCAGTTGTTGTTTTGCACACCTAGAATGGTGTGAGTGCTGCCAGCTGTCACCTCCCCTGTCATCTGGGCAGTGGCCAGGTGTCACTGGATCCTGCCTTTCCTGCAGGAGCTCCCAGGAGAGGCAGTGATTCATGGAATCTTAAGGATCCTGCAGACCATGGCCAGGTTCAAGCCCATCATTAATGCTGGCTGCAGAAGCAACTGATCTTTTTTTAAGGCCACTTCAGCATTCATAGCTAAGTTCTGGATTTCTGGTAGCAGTGTTTGCTGCATTTCTTCTGCCTACTCCACATTTCTCCTGATTGAGTCAGCACTGGCTTCACCACATTTTATTGCTCTCATTTATTGCAAGCACTACCTATCAAATTAATTGCTGTGTTTTGACAGACCCAATTTACTTTCCCATTATGGCTGCTAATACTGTTGACGAAATGTGGTTGTCAGCTCCTCTGTGGGGGATCAGTTGGTATTTAAAAAGCCTATCCTGTTTCCAGCCTTCCCAAAAAGAGACCCAAAGGGTCACTGCCCTTAGGGCCACGTTGTCCATGTAGGTTAGGCACGAGGAAGGCAAGGGGGAAAAGGAGGTATAAAAAGTGGCTGTCCCGGGTCTCTGAGCAGAAACAGCTCCTCCCAAAGAGAGAACTGCATGTTTTGTGGGAAGAGCCATGCCCCACATGCAGGTGGGTGTCCTCACAGGGCTGTGGCACAGGACTTTCCCCTGGAATGACCCACCACCAGCAGTGAGGAGCCCAGTGTCCCAGGGCTGTGCCTCACTGCACAAGGTGCTGATAGGACACAAAAGCCCAGCGGTGCCCAGGGCAGCACAGCTGGACATCAGCAGTGTGCTGGGAGCCACCTGGAGCTTCCAGCAGTGGTAGGGGCTGGAGAGGGTTTGTACAAGAGCTACCAGTGCTTGTCCTCATCTGTCCTTAGGTAAATGTGGCTGATGTTCCATCCCATTCCACTCTGCACTCTAGGCTGGACAGGCACAGAAATACAAGTTCCTTCACCTGCTGCCATTATCTTCATGATCATTTTCTTCCTTTGTCTCATTGTTTTGCTCTCAGGGACAGATTCCTCTTAAACACATCTGTATATTTGCATCCATCTTTAAGGTAATTCCATGTCTGTGTTTCCCCTGGGTGCTGTAGAAACCTGTGTCCCCTCCTGAGCCTGTGTGATTTGTGTGTAGTGAGAGCATTTGGCTCCATCCTTCCTTCCTGTAGGAGCAGTTTTATTGCATTGATTCTGTGTGTGTGACACTAATGTTTATGTATGCTTTTTATTATTATTTCTATTTCTGATTCTTTGGCATTTCAGCTGCTTTTAGGAAGGGAGGGAGGGGTGAAAAACAACAGTTGGGTTTTAGCAGGAAGTGGTGCTCAGCCCCACATCTGCAGAGGGAATAGCTACAGAATTCGGGAAAGGCTGAGCTTTGTAATTTGAGTTTAATTTTTAGTGGTTATGCAAAAGAAAAGGCTGGAGCCACCTCTGCTCCAGATGCTCCACCACTCCCTTGTGTTTCTGCCTCTGGTGCAGCACTGGGATGGCTCTGGGCACACCAAAATTAGTTGCTCCAAGTGACACCCCACCCCAGCCAGGACTTCTTCAAAACATGGTCGCTTGTCCAACCACCTGCACAGACCCTTCTAGGAAGTGTTGGTCCAGTTAGTTCTGTTAAATAACATTAATGCAGACCATGATGAGCTGCAGACACCTCTGTGGGAAGTCCTAGGGATCCAGTGGTTAGGCAGGACACAGCCTGGGCTGAGAGATTGGGAAACAAACACACATCTCTAAATACCTTTGGAACAGATCCTGCACTTTGGAGACTCTGGCCTGGCTTATTGCTCTGAGACAAATGGGTGGGCCAGAGCCAGGATGTCACCTGCTCTGAGTGAGGAAGGACTTGCAGAGATTGTCCAAAAATAGCCAGGAGAAGGCAGGCAGAGGCAGATGGGGACTGACAGGGTGCCACTGCCTCCTGCTGCTGCATTTCCACAGGAAGGAAGGGACTTGAGCAGCCTGCACTGAATGGGGACTCGTGGAGGAACTAAGCACTTGCCAGGGGTGTGTGTTTGAGCTGTGGAGGTTGTCCCACACCCTCCCTGTGCCGTGCTTCTGTGTTTGGGAGGGCAGTGTGGGGACTCCTTGTGGGACACAGAACACTTGTGAATCCCCAGTGGCTCTGATCCCCCCACAGCCATGTGCTCTCCTGGGTAATTGCACAAACCAGGCTTTGCTCCCCTGCGGCTTACAAAATGTAGGAGAAATAGAATCTTATTTCTTAGCAAGAGTTATTTACTGGAGATTCCCATCCAGCCTCAGGCCTCACAGCAGGAGCCTGGTTCCTGTGCAGACATGGAGCTCTGGTACTGCATCTCTGCTGCTTCATGGGCAGCCCCAGCTTTTTGGCTGCTGTTTGCCACCCTGAGAGTCCTCTCACCCTGACATGGAGGTGTTTGGAGAGGCAGGGGCTGCTCAGGGTGGTGGGACAGCATTGAAGACAGTCCTGACAGGAGCAGGATCAGCAGGATGTGCCAGACAGGGAGCTGGGCTGTGCTGAGCTGCCACAGAACAGAACCTCTGCAGCTAAATGAGGTGATCAATCATTTGAAGAGGGAGATGACAGGCACTGAAGACAGTTCCTCAGCCTTCCCTGCAGGGAAATGGTGCATGGGTTCAAGGTCAGGTTTACTGCAGGGCTTTGCTGATGTGGAGGGAGAAGGGAATATGATTTTTGATCATTTCTTGTTTCTTCAAAAATTGGGTTAGCCAATTGTGTGTACTTTGTGTTCTTCCTAGCCAGGAAATACCCCCAGAGCCCCCAGACACTGTGTGCTCCAGGCACTGACACTGCACTGCCAAGCTGGCTTGTCCATGCAGGTTCTACAGAATACCCTGGCACAGGTGCCCAGAGCAGCTGTGGCTGCCCCTGGATCCCTGGCAGTGCCCAAGGCCAGGCTGGATGGGGCTTGGAGCAACCTGGGATAGTGGGAGGTGTCCATGCCCATGGCAGGGGGTAGAACAAGGTGATCTTCAAGGTCTCCTTCCAGCCCAAACCATTCCATGATTCTGTGGCACAGCCAGACTGGTGTGAGCGAGGCTGGACACCCCTTGGAGACACAATTGCCTGGAGATGATTGCCTCCTTTGTGTTGTGGATAGCTTTATGATGGAGAAATGGGTGTTGTAGGTGAAGTCACCTGCCTGCAATTGGTTTTTGCTGTGGGTGGTATCTGGAGGTGTCCCCTTTTCTCCATCCAGGGACACTCCACATGGGGGTGGAGGTGCTGCTCCTCGAGCAGTACAGCTCAAGCCTTCTACATGACAAAACATCAAAAGTTAGGAGTAGGAAGAAAAGGCTGAAGTTACTGTAGTGTATGTGCAGTGCAAGGAAGTGACCTTGGCTGAGATTCTAGAGCTGCTGCTCTCAGGTTTTGGGGACTGCTCTTTTGGGGACCAGGCAAACTCACAGGAACGGAAATCATACAGTTTTTGTTTAGGAAAAACTGGGTTCTGGTAGAAACATTTAGTTTTACTGCCATTTACAGCAGCAACTGTGGGATCAACCCATCAATCTGATCTTTATTTAAAAAATCAGATTAAAGGAGAGCAGGCCAGAACTCTTCAAATGCAAAGTAGGTAATTTGGAAACCATGCTGCTGGTCTACAAAACTTTCCCCTAAAACCACATACCTTGTCATGGAGAAGAGCAATTGGGGAAATGGAGAGCTCAGTTTTTGGGAGCAGAGGCCGAGCAGGCACAAGCTGCACATCCTTGCAGGGCATCGTGCTGGGCTATTGCTGAGGTACCAGCACATCAGGCTGGTTCATCACTGATATATAAACTGTTATGAACAAAAGAACCTTCCTGGTTTGCATGGCAATACTGGGACACTGGTAGCTTGAGCTAAGTACTGATACTGAAATGTTAATTAGCTAATTGCTCCTGGGGATCACCTACACCCCCACCCACACTGCCACTCTAGGACTAGAATGCAATATAGAGGAACCAGTGGAATTTTGGGAGGGGGTTTTGGGGATGAAAACACCCCTAAATGGAGAGCTGGGCACAGTGGAAGAGATTGGACAGGTGCTCTGAGTGCGGAAAAGGGAACCACATCCCCAGTGTATGTCTGACCTGTCACCATAACCTGCAGAGGGCTGGACTGGGCTGTGGGAAGCAGGAACAAAGAAGCAACTCTTCCTGGTGTTACCAGGAGGAAAAGGAGAGGGGACAGCTGCTGCTGGACTTCAGCAACAGGCTCTGCACATCCCCTCACCCGTCCAGGAAGCCGAAGGGGGAGAAGGCGTGCAGAGTCTGTCCCTGAAGTCTCCGTGGCACACTGGTAGCCGGAGGGTGAAGAGGTGTGTGGTCTGTAGCTGAAGTTCCCACCAGCAGACCGTCCTCTCTCCTTTCCTCGTGGCTACCAGTGTGCCACAAAGACTTTAGGGACAGACCCTGCACGCCTTCTCCCCCTCCCTTTGGCTACCTGGAAAAAGCTACAACAGCAGGGGCAAGCTCTGTGTCGAGCCCCCTGCCGAGCTGATCTTTTTAATAAAGAGCTGAACATTAATAAAGGCACAAGCCCTGTTCATTTCATAAACCCCCCTGCCTCGCTGCGTGCCCACGTTGTCTTTGTCTCCCGGCAGAACACAGGGCAGCAGAGAAGCCGCCAGGGACCCGGAGCTGCCCGACGTGTGCGAGGACGAGGCCGCGGCCTGAGGGGCAGCGGCGGCTGCCCTCAGCGCCCTCACTGCCCTCAGCGCCCAGCACGGAGCCAGCCTGAGCCCAGCACGATGGCGGGCAGCCCCACGAGCCGGGCAGGAGGACGGGAGCAGCTCCAGCCATGAGCTCGTCCATGCGCGCCTCGCTGCAGCCGAGCGCCTCGGCCTGCTCCTCTCAAGGGTCATCTTCCCCCCACAGACTTTCTCCTTGTGTTGCTGCATTCTCTACTTCAAGCATCAGGGGGGAAAATGGTGTTACAAGATGGGCTTTATATGGGAGGGCAGCTGTTTTATTTAATGCACTTGTGTACGTCAGGAGTCCTGCTCCTGGCGTGGAGATGAAGGCAAAATGGATATCAGCTGAATGAGGAGGAGATCCCGCTGTTGGATGGACATCGTCCCTCCCTGTGTTTGTGTTTCTCTTTCTTCCCTTTTCCTCCCATCCCTCAGTTTTGCACAGTGTCAGTCCTGCCCCCAGCCGTGGCTTTAGGGCAGAGCTGTAAAGCAGAGGAGTTACAGGAGATTCCCTGGCTGTGCCGTGAGCCCTGGAATGTCACAGAGCCCTGGAGCTTGGGGATATGCTGCTACACACAACAGCTCAGTGCTCCAAGCACGTCTGCCAGGGCTGGGAATGCACCCCAGCAGCTGCACCCCATCCTGCACCCATGGACCATGTTCCCCAGCTGAAAAGAGTGGCAGGTTTGGGATTTGTTTTATTTCATTTCCTTCTCTTCACTTATCTCTTGTGTACCTGATGCTTTTAAACTTTATTTTCATAAAAATGACCCAAACTGGGAGAGGTTCCTAGGATGGAAAATGTTGGTGGAGGGTTTTTAGAAAGCTACAGAGCACAAGTTCACAGCTTGATCTTTTGATTTTTATTTTTTTTAAAGGCTTTAACTTTTAATTTTAAGACTCTGGTTTTTATGCATGTGCTGTTGCTGCTATTTTTTCCATTGATTGCTTCTAAACTTGGGGTTAGAAGCTTCATCTCAATCGTTTGACAACTGGTAAGAGATTGCACTTAAAAAGGTAAATACAAAAAAGCAAATACAGCCATTTTTGTGGCTGTTGACTGTACAGACTGTGGATTATCAGGAATGTCATTCTTCCATTCAGAGAGTAAAAACCAGTGATATCCATCTGTCAAAATATATGTAATTATTTTCCCTTGAGCCTTATGGGGTCTCTGAGCATGCCCCTGGGAAGCCAGTGGGATTGGAATCTTATTTTATAGCACTTCGAGAAAGGACATGATTAAATTTGGTTCCTACATAATCACCTTAGTGTCTGTTTTTAGGCTAATCCTGAGGACTTGGGACTTTGTTCCCTCATTTTTTGTGCAGGGGGACACATGTACAAGGGTCGTTGGTAGTGCCTGGTGCATCCTGGTGCTCCTGTTCTGTTTGCTGCAACCTCGTTTGATGGTTCCTAACATTTTACAGCTGGGCTTTGCTGTTGGTGCCTTCTGTCTGTCCCCAGCCTGTCACCTGCCCTCACTCATCCTCAGCCACCTCATTGGGATGCATCTCACCTGTAAATATTGGCAAAATGGGAAATAACATGCAGCTTCTCTATTGAATGGAGACCTTTAATGCTGACAGCTGGTGTTGGATCCTGTAAAGGTTGCTGCTGTGGAGCTGAGCTCTGCACTGCTGCTTCCAGGTGCTAAATCCTGCCTGGTTTTTGGTGTCTTCATCAGCTGTGAGCTCAGCATCCTCTGAGCACCAGGAGGATGCCCTGATCCTTCCCCCAGCCTGGGACACGGGACTTTCTGCTTGGATCCTGCTGCTTTGTAATGAGGATTTAGGTGCCCAGAGGTATGAAGTGAAAGGTCTGAAAGCACAGGGGATTCTGCAAATGGGAAAGATTGTCCAGGTGGAACTGCTGCCTGTGGAAGGGACAGTCTGTGGATACAAACTGATCTGTGCTGTGGTGCCACCTGCTCCTGCTGCAAACCAGGGGCCAAGCTGGGAAAACTGTCCTCCAGTTTGTGGAAAAATCTTTCTCCAACTGGTGTCCCCAGGACAGAGCCAGGGAGTGACCTTGGAGCACAGACACATCTCAGGAATGTGCCCTATCCTAGGCAGAAAAGGGAGTTCTGGTAATCCTCATCACTTCTGAAGTCTAAGCAATACCTGGGTTGTGCTCAAAGAGCTCTATGAATGCAAACATGGGGTTAGTTACTGTGTTTTTAATCCGTGGCAAGAATAATTTGATAACCCAGGCAGCTGGGGTTATTTTAGTGATGCCCAAGGGGTTGGGAGCTGGTGGGGAAGGCTGCAGGAAAGCTGTTCTCAGCCTCAATTAATGCAACCAAACAAATGATGAGTTATAAATGAGCTCCATATCCTGTTCCTTTAATGGTACCTCAATTCATCACTTCAGTTTTGGAGAGGAATGGGTGTTTTTTATTATTATCTCAAAATATACTTAGAAATATTTGCCCTTTGAGCTACAAGAAATCCTTCTGGAGCTGTTCCCACAGGTGCAAGAACCAAGCCCTCGAGCTCTGAGCTGGTGTCACACCTTGTTTCTTCAGCAAATCTGCCAACAGGCTTTCCTTTCTAGCCCAGAGATCACCCCTATCGTGTCACAAACAGCAACCTGAAAACCTGCATGAAATGAGATGAAAAATGTGCCCTGGCAGCAGGAGAAATGCTCAGATAGGCAAAGCCAGGCTCTACTCACTCAGCTGCAATGAAATCCTTGCTTGTTTATGTGTATGTTAGAGCAGCTCAGGGCAACTGGTTCTGCTCTGAAGAAAGGAAGAGACTGAAGAGAGGGGATTTATTTGAGAATAAACATCCCAGGCAAGGCAGTGCTTTTAGCTCTTGAGTAAAATCATTCTCTTTAGCTGGATGGGTAAATATTTGTCTGCTCCTCTCTGTGATGGAGGAGATGGGGTTCAGTGTGGGCTCTGCAGAGCAGGTGTGGCACATTCGTGCTTTGGTGTGTGCTGTGTTTTTCCCCTCCAAATCCTTCTCTCTGCTGTTCCTGGAGCACTGGGATGCTCTGGCCTGGGTCAGCTGGGCTTGGAGTCACCAGGAGGGCTCCTTTTTCCCATCACCATTGCATCTGGTCAAGTTTTCCAGACTCTTCCAGGCTGAGGATGATTTTCTTGAAAGAAATTTCTCATTTGGAGGAACAGCACATCTCTTTGATCTTCAGGAGGTGGATTTGTCTTGCTCAATAAATGGCTCTAGGCTTTTGGTTTTGGGGGGTAGTGCTAGGTAAAAATCCTGGTCAAGTCTCTTGTGTGCTCCACTGAGGAATGCACAGTCCGTGTCTTTAACCCTTTGGGCAGGAATGTGCTGCTGTCACTGTCACAGCTGCAAGCAGATGAGGTTTCAGCATCAGGGCAGCTGGTGGGAAAGCTGACTTTGTGTAGGGCTCCAGCCAGAGGGAGCCTGACAAGGGACAGGGTAGCTGCTCCACGCAAAACAAACAGCGGCTCCATAAAACAACTCCCAGGGTGCAATTTCATTCCTGATTTATTGCCAGACTTGCAAGGAGGAGCTGCTGGGAGAAATTTCATGTTCCTTCAGCACAACTCTGTCCTGAAGCCTTCGGCAGCGCTGCCATGGGGGAATTTCTGCGTTTGTGGTGTGTGGCTGGGAGCTTGTTTGCCTTCCCCAGCTCAGTGCTTTCCCTCCCATCTTGCCCAGGACCCCATGAGCTTTGTCCCACCAGCCCAAGGCTTTGTCCCAGCCCCTGAGAGGCCCAGGCTCCCCCAGGGACAGGGATTCTCTGCTCTGAATTTCCCAAGGCAGGAGGGCTGTGCTGGGGGATGCCACTGAGAGCCCAAGCACCTCTGCTCTGGAGGCTGGAAAGCAGAGTGGAGGTTTTGTATGGAAATGCAACCTGGATGAGGTGCCAAAGGTTTGTAGTGGAGTTTGCTGAGCAGAGCAGTGCAAGGCATTCCTTTCTGGCCCAGATCCTTCTACACAAGTCCATGCTCAGCTCAAGTCCCTCCCAGGCTGAATTAACCCGCATCACGCCATGACCCTGTTGCTGAGAATGCAGCCTCCCATGGGATGAGGGAAGGAAAGCAGCTCCTCAGTCACTGCCCTGCTCCTTCCCTTCCTGGAGAAAAGCCATGTACACTCAGAGCTGCTGCTGGCAGAGCCCAGACCCTCTGTCAGTATCCACAAGCCATCCAAGTGCTCCCAAAAAGCGGTGTAAATTCAAGAAAATGTGAATTGCAACTCCTGAGGGTACAATGCAGATCCTCTGTGCTGTAATTTTGCTGCTCTTTCTGATTTCTAGGCCTGTTCTGTTGGTATTTCTGTCTCTTGTTGCACTGGAAGTTGAACCTCTGCCCCTGTATGTGCTCTGCTATGATTCCAGCATGATGTAAATGCACTCAGTACTGTGACAGCATGTGGCTGTTGCACTGTAAATATGTACCATGAAGAGAGAGGCTATTTTTTGCATGCTTTTGTACTGTAGAACTGATGAGAAAATGACAATAAATTCCACAGAGACGACCCAGGCTGGAAGTGCAGTTCCTAAGGCAGCTGCCAGGCGCAGCCTCCAGTGCTGCCCTAAGGCCAGCCCCGTTCTGGGACTAAGGCTGGGACAGCCCCAGTCACAGCCCTGAGCCTGAGCCCAGCTCTAAGCTCAAGGCTCCCTTAGCCCTAAAGCCAGGGCCGGCTCTAAACCCGCCTCTAAGCTCAACGCTCCCTTAGCCCTAAGGCCAGGGCCGGCTCTAAGCCCGGCTCAAGGCTCCCTTAGCCTTAAGGTCAGGGCCGGCTCTAAGCCCGGCTCAAAGCTCAAGGCTCCCTTTAGCCCTAAGGCCAGGGCCGGCTCT